CCATCACCCGCCTGTCCTGAACCTTAACCCTTAATTGTTCTGGGGTGGAATTCATATCCCGCTATTACCATGGAATAGATCTGGGATCAAATAAGACTGAAATGTTAAGATGGGCACCACTCCCTCTGCCCTCCCTCTGACCTATGCAGCACACGCAGTGTTTGATCGTACTACGGGGTCCTGTTTCTGAGTCTTCTCAGAAGGAAATAGGATTTTTTTTTTTCAAGAGGTTATTGTGTTATTTGGTTTGTTAAATCATACACAGAAATAGGATCACGGCCTGGTTTTGCTAATCTGTACCTTCAGGAAAAGCTTAGTAACTCGCCTCACGGGTGAGAAGCTTTAGGTTTTGTCTGACTCCTGAGAAGAAATGGGAGGACTCGGAGGAGATGTCTGTGGAAAAGCCTATGGAGTAGCCAGGTTTGGGCAGAAAGTTTAGATCTGTCGTTTCAGGATAAAATACCAACAAGAACACTTAAAGGAGCTGTATTTGGAGCTTATTTGTAAAGTACCACATCGTTATCAACAACACATAATCCTACAGGAATTTATTCATTGTATTTACGTGGGTTTGTCCCAAGAAAGGTCATTGCAAGGATTAATTTTTTAGAAGAAACAAAAGTTCTAACTTCTCCAAAGGTACACAAAAGACCAATAGTGAATGTTCTTTTCCTTCTCATGTGACTAAGGAAGTGTGAGAAGTGTAAAGCTTCTAGCCACCATTTTTCAGATTACAAAACTACCCTCTCGCCCCCCTGTTTTGTTGCTTTCGTGTGACTTTGAGGAACATGAACATCTCAACTACCTATATTATATTGGTATGATATTTATAAATTCTTGAACGTTGAAAGTCATCATCCCAAAAGCATGCAGGCATTGCCTTCTCTTTTTTTATTTATATGCAGAAATTCTCCCCGGTCTGAATTACTCGTTATAAAAAATTCTATGTCAATTTGGATTTCTCTCTGTCTACTTGAAATCAGAGTAGTCTTTTCTTTTTGCTTTCTATACATATGCCTGGAAGAATTTAAATATGGGCATTTTGTGTAATGTAATCCACAATGACTAAAGGTAAGTACATTCCTTAAGTGAGTTAGAAAAGTGTGCTTCACTGACAGTAATTGCTTAGTGCAGTCTTTCAGAGGATGAAAAAATTATTTATCTTACTATTTCCTCCGTAAGACCCGATTCTACAAGAATGCCTAAGAGAAACTTAGCATTTTTAAGTTTTTCCAGGCTATGCTTTTTAAAGGCACTTTACTCCTTATCAGAGTTGGACTGGTGTAGTCCTACTGGTATTTCGTCCTTTTTCTTTATTCAGTATCCAAGCCACATTAATTGAATTAGCCTCCTTAAAAAACTTCTAAATTAAAACAGCAGTGAAAGTATTGCAATATAATTCAGCCTTGATAGAAAAAAAAATTTCAGAAAAAAAATTGATTATTCTTCAGTTTTGGGATAAATATCACTACTTTCAAATGAGTGATTCATCAAAAATGCATTTTTAATGCCAGGATTTTATTCTCACTTGATGTCAGTTGGATTGATATCACTGGCCTATTGGCTCAGTAATCTGTGAAATAAAATGAATATACATGAAAGTTACAGCAAAAAGTTAGTCCATCAAGACATGACAATATTACCAAAAATAAAAATAAGGCTTGATAAATTATGTATTCAGAAAGACTTTATGCATACAGGTGAGCCTGTCCTTTGGAAGAATACCTTTTCACCATAAACTGAAAATGTTTTACTTTTCACGATGAGGGAAGTGATCGTCCCCCTGTACTCAGCACTGGTGAGGCCGCACCTCCAATACTGTGTTCAGTTTTGGGCCCCTCACTACAAGAAGGACATTGAGGTGCTGGAGCGTGTCCAGAGAAGGGCAATGAGGCTGGTGAAGGGTCTGGAGAACAAGTCTTATGAGGAGCAGCTGAGGGAACTGGGGTTGTTTAGCCTGGAGAAGAGGAGGCTGAGGGGAGACCTTATCGTGCTCTACGACTACCTGAAAGGAGGTTGTAGCGAGGTGGGTGTTGGTCTCTTCTCCCAAGTAACTGGCGAAAGGACGAGAGGAAATGGCCTCAAGTTGCGCCAGGGGAGGTTTAGATTGGACGTGAGGAAAAATTTCTTTACTGAAAGAGTGGTTAAACATTGGAACGGGCTGCCCAGGGAAGTGGTTGAGTGATCATCCCTGGAGGTATTTAAAAGACGTGTAGATGAGGCGCTTAGGGACATGGTTTAGTGGGCATGGTGGTGTTGGGTTGACGGTTGGACTCGATGATCTTAGAGGTCTCTTTCAACCTTAATGATTCTATGATTCTATTTGATGTGAGCGGTGTTATGACAATATGTTAGATTAATTAATTCTTTCTAATGGCAGGCAGCAATTAAAGAAATTAAACACTTTTCCTCCAACTTGATTTTTGATACGGCTGCAGTTTCATTGAGTCCAATGTATTATATAGCACCAGACGTTCTCATGCAAGGAAAGAAGCAGCAGTCACCTGTAACCACCATTACCTGCTTCCTATCAACTACCCAGATTTTCAGATGCCTACGTAATGCATGTGTTGAAGAAAACCAGACATCCCGAAATTCATAACTTTAGCTCTGGTATTCCACTGATTTAAGCTGTAACACAGATGGTGCTGAATGGAAAAGTTGCCTAGTTGTCTGGCCCACACCACGTGGCAATCCATCATCTTCCATGTGATTCTAATCCTTTAGCAATGCACACCATCAGAGATGCCATCCTGGCCTCTTGTTTATCATGTAAACGTTATTTTGTATAATTTCTCTTTTAATGGCAATTCAAATTATTTAATTATATATACTGTTTTTCAAATCTTGGCTCTCATTAATTTAAAATGTATTATTTTTTATAAATGTACTGTAAAAATAGTTTAATAAGTGAGAAATTACTCGGTCTCATTCTAGTATCTAATGAGAACTGTCTCTGCATCGGGTAAAGCCAAGCTTAATGTTCAGTCTTTCAAACATTGACTGGGACCATTTTTATTGTGAGTGATATTATGTACTATAGTAACAAATGCAAATGTTACTGAACTCTAGAAAAATTCTTATATGTTAGTAAGTTTTTTCTTTAAGAAGTCAGTCATAAGTCCAGTTAAATTTTGCAAATTCTAATGAAATGGAAGGATTCTTTCTGTATTGGATGCTCTGTTGCCAGACTGAGGAACCAAACCGGTGGTCTGATCTGTGTGTTGTGTGTGTGTAGTGACTGGTATCAGGTGTAAGAAATGTGATGCAGTGGAAATTAGGGACTGCATTCACAAGAGTCTGCCCCGCCTCTGAGCAAGCAGTTGACTTCTGCTTTGAAGCAAGATTGCCTAATCATATATAGTTTTGACTAATGAAACTGTGGCTGCTCTGATAAATCCGCAGATAAATGCCTAATCCTGTTTTAAAATGCGGCTAAGTAGTTCTTTACATGAGCAGGGAACTGGGAATGCCAGGCTTTTGTCATTTTATCAGCCAGTACAGCCTATGCCTAATGCTAATAAACATCACTTGAGGTATCTGCTGAGGAATATGGGCTTCCCTAAGCTAATACACGTCAGTTATGATATGTGCTAGAAGTACTGTCATTGCCCCAACACAGAGACCAAGTTAACCATGTTTTGTGGGGTTTATGCTGAAAAGCATTTATGTTGCGTGGCTATACATTAAGCTATGCTACAGTCAGCAGAGTCTTGAAAAGTCTGGCAAGAAACTGATATCTGGCTGGGGATGAACTTCGGAAGCCTGGTGAGCATGGGGTGGTGCTGGGGGAAAGGGTGCTTGCAAATATTTGGTCAAAATTCAAATGTGCTGCTTTCTAACTGAGAAATGAGAACTTGATCCAATTGTTCTGTATGCACAAAATGTGCATTATCTAATCAGAATTTCAGAGAGAAAGAATAACTGGTTACCTCAGTGTCTTTCTCTATGGTTCCTTTCATAAACAGGGAAAACAACTACTGGGCAGTTTCTGCAAATACAACAGAAAAGAAAACTGTACTTTATTCCTTTTGATTGCATAGTAATGTGCTATTAATGATGGGGACGAGAACTGCAGGAATCTGGGAGCTCCTGCTTCTCTAAAATGGAAAGTTTTTGCAGAGAATGTATTTCCCTGAAGTGAGCAGTCTGTTTGAGTGTATCTAGCTCCTAGGGAAGGGGAGAGAAAATCATTGTCTTTAGTTACTGAGGAATTAAAAGCATCTCCTGAACACTCAAGACATTGCATATACATTGTCAAAGGCCAGATCTCCTCCAGAAGGCCTTGTGGGAGAATAATGTTATGTCATATAAAAAGCCAACACTCCTTCCACATAGGGTGCAGACTGCTTGCCTGACCCTGACTTCCAATGCAAATCTCCCCAAATGTGTTCTCACTGTGTAGTTGCATAACTAGCTATTCTTGTGAATTTGCCTTTCCTATTTCTAGAGGAGATGGAGAAACAAAGCTGGAGTTAACCTCTTGTATACCAGCAGATAGTAGCATTTCATAAGATGTCTACATGCATGAGCGTTTGGGTGTTCTCTAATTTCTCTGTTTATGCCAAGTTACGTTAATGTTAGCATCTCAATGTTTAAAACTACAAAATAGTATTTCAGATTACAAATGGAAGTCAGATAAATGAACAAAATAATAAAAACTGTTTGGATACTTTGAATTTTCCAGAAGGATATTATGGCATACTCTAAATACTGTATAGTATGGAATTGTTCTTGCTACTGACATTGAAATTAGAGTAAACTTGCATCCACATAAATGGAGAAGATTTGAGACCAGTTCCCACATAAAAATACACTTTTTCTCAGGAAAAAAAATATCCCTTGAGGCCTGGTCTTTTTGCAAGCAATTCTGACCCAATTCATATATATTACTTTTAAAATGTATACCCTTTCCTCTCTCACAGGCACTGCATGAAAAATTATGGGGGAAAAACATGCATTGTAGATTGCATCAGTTTTTTTCTTCTTTATTCCCACAGGCACAACAGCTAACAGATCTGGAGCAAAAACTAGCAGTTGCAAAAGATGAATTGGAAAAGGCGGCCCTTGACAAAGTAAGAAGTGTAACGTAATGTAAGCATGTTTGTCTCTGTCAGCTGTGAATGTTTCAGTGTAATTTGACAAAAACAAATGAAAGTCTTGCGAAGATTTAGATGCATACTTAATTGTGTGTACCTGGGTGTAATGCTACTGAAGTCAGTGGAACTAATTATGATGCATGAAATTAAGTACAACTGCAAAGTTATTTAAGAGGAGGGCAATCAAATTAGAAAGAAATATCTCAAAAACCCACAGAAAACCAAATGCTATACAATTCTTTATGTGCAAAAGTACACTAACGAGAATGTGCCTGTAACCAATACAACTTTTATCTGAGGTGTAGTCATAGCTCCAAGTAGCATGCAGTATAGAAATGGGTCAGTCTCTTGTTAGGGTGGATCTGATGTGGCAGAGCTAACTCTTCTTTGGGCAGAGGTGCCCGCTCATGTCGGAGGCTGTAGGGAATCCCAGGAAAGGGACAAAGCAGGACACATTCACTCCTCTCAGCTGTGCAACAGGGGAAGTTTCTTCTAGATTTAGGGTAGCTGGGAAGAAAATATCATGCAATAGGGAAGCAGTTTATCAGAAAGGAAAAAACTTCAATATGCTATCAAATACTGCTTTTTTTGGTTTGTTTTTCTATTATTTTCAGGTTCCATTAGACATTTAAAAAAAAGTATGCCCCTTGCACTAAAAGCATTTTTCTTTAATCTTCAAGATTGCAATCACTGAAATCATCCTCTTGAGTGAGGATTTGCATCCAGTGTTGCAAAATGTCATCTATGTAAGCAATGCTCACGGTAGCATTATTCAAACCTGTGTGTGCGTCTGGTGATATTTCATGTGTTTCTTGTTAGTACACTAAACTGAACTGCTCCACATGTTAATTTAAAAATTAAGCACGTTCCTTCTTTGCTCGTATAACACTCACAAACATGGTCTCTCACTAGTGCCAATATACTGTCTGTGCCAATGGCAAGAGAGCAACGCGTGTCGTAAATACCTTCTAAATGCAGTTATTCATTACAATGCAGACAGTTGTGAAGGAGAAAGCAAAGAATATTTGACATCAGGAACTTTTAATGAGAATGCTATTAAGGAATTCTGTCTGCAAATCAAAAGGGGATTTGCAGCGCACCCAACTGACTTCTGACTCTCTGTTTCTTTCCTATTAAATATTATAGAATTTTAATTTAGGGCTCAGTTATGGTTCCATAGGCTTACCAGAAGCCCGGTGTCATCTTCTTGCAAATCATCATCAAAGGAGTCTTTGGATGGCTTCATTGCTTCCATGCTGCAGAAGTGCAGTGGAAATGGCGAGCAGGAGTAAAAAAAGCAGTGCAAATCAAGGAAAAACACAAAGTTTAGGCCAGTGAGAATTGTGAGACAGTTTTATGAGACTAGAAATACCCGTGTTTGACTAGCTCTAACTGCAGAGTAATAAGACCATTTAAGCTGTAGGTACCTTTTTTCCCCTGGTTAAGAGCTTTTCTGTATGAACTATGAATTGAAAAGAGTTAGAGACGGCCAATGGTCCATCCATGTCTTCAGGGAGGACTACGGCCTTAACTGTTTTGACAATGGCAGCACAGTTTCAGCTAAGCAATGTGTAACTGGAATGGAAGCAATGTGTAAAGCAATGTGCATTTTTGGAAAGTGAGCTGTATTTGAAATAAATTGAGTGATTGAATCTCAAACTGTGCCTATAAATAGGCATTAATTTGTATTTTTCTTTTGGGAGGTTATCAGACTTTTCTATTAAATATTATTTTGTGCTGACAGTGGACTTAGTGTCTCTCATAAGTCTATTTACACCACAGCACTTTTCTAGTTCCTGTGATGGACCCTTGGATGACTGACAATTTTTGCATTACCACAGCCCAAATTATACTATATTGAATCCAACAACATGACAAGAGTATAAACAGATCTGGGAAATCTGAAGACATGCACCATATCTTGGCAGTATTTTGACCAGCAAGCAACCTGTTTTGACCACAGTCACATCTATGCAAGGTTATTGAGAACTTTGTCAAACGGCATCCCCGGTTCCAATAGCGTTTCCTTAAGTTGTACGCTCATGCTGCCCATTTATACATCTCCTATCAGCAAAGTCAAAATTGAATTTTGTTACCCACAGCATGAAAACAAAATAACCTGTTCTGCTTTTACCTTTGGAATGGCAAAATGGCTGGCCGTAGCCAAGGTAGAACAAGCACTGGATGGCAAGGGTGGGAGATGAGAGGACAAGAAATTATCCAGAGGGATTTCCGGACAGGAGGAGTGTGGTTTCACATCATTGTGATTGGCGGGGAGCACTAGGGTCATGTAGGGCTAGAATGGCTGAGTCCGTATCTTCAAGCAAATTTACCTAGTCTGCTACCTCTGCCAGTTTGGTGTCTGAGCTTATTTTGACCATGTCAAATGGTGATTTATGTTCTCTGTGCAGTCACTTCTTGAAAAGGTAGGGTGAAAGACGTATTACGTGAAAAGTAGTATACTAAGGTCTTCTGTTGTCACTTAGAAATTAAAAGATCCCTGACTCAGATGGATAAAGTAATCCTTTCCCTTTCACTCTGCCGTTAGGTCAGAGACATATCAGTCTGACTCATACATTTTAATAAGTAATTCATACAAAGTGCTGTCCTCTTTGATGATAATCTAACATTCCTCCTCACTGCACACACTTTAAGGGAAAGACTTTCAATTTTGTATGCAAACAAACCAAACTCCATTCCATCTCTTAGTTCTTTGATTTTCCTTATTGTGCTGTGCATTAATAGTCTTTTTATGGTTGTCTTTGATCCTACCATTGAAATGTACCCTACTAAATCTTTGTGTTTGTTTATTTTTAAAGAAACACTCAGGTCTTTCCCAGTTATCAGATACATTCCCTGGTTCCAGTTCAGGGGAAGTTTATCTGATGTAAAACATGGAATATTTGTCGGGTTCTAAAAAATACTTGTTTAGCAAATAAACTTAAGCAAGGTGGTGTATGCTGAATGCCATTGCTTAGAATTTGTATAACTCTGAAATATTTTTATATTGTATATGTAATATTTCACATATGTAGTATGTAATGTTACTTATACATATATTTTCCGTCAACTTTTGCCATTGTATAGCTTGATTTGTATATCTTCAGAAACATTTTTGAAGGTTGAAATGTGCTGATGTAGCCTGTATTTATAGGCGCATTCTTAATATAAAGAAGAGCAAGATGGTTTTTTAAGGCCAAATGCTGCCTAACTCCCCCTGGAATGAGTATAAGGAAGTTGCCTCAATATCTAACATTTGACTCCAAGTGTCTTGCTGTGATGGAGCAAAGATTTAAAATGACATTTCCTCAGAGCTGTAGTTATCTCACTGTTCTTACTGTCTCAGCTTATTTCAGTGACAGACTGCTATTTTCATTAATACATCTATCTGTATTTCTGTGAGTAACATAATGGTGTTCTAACATGAGTTGCAAGCACTTCACTGCTTAAAAGTTTTAGTTTGCCTTGATGGACAGTAATGGATCTGGACAATCGTATTCTTAACAGATGAAAAGACATGGTTTGTTTGCTATACGCTGCAACAGCGCAATATGCTCATGAGGGAAGTCATCTTCGTTGGATTAAAACTAATCCTTATAACCTGCGGAAAAATACCAGTTATTCTGAATGTTACAGACAAAATTCCATGCAAAGTCTGTGTCTGCAATACTTGTGAATGTTCACTTTTCTGTAACTCTTATATGTAAAAGTCTGGACACTGTATGATATTTGGTAGATTGTATTTTTGTTTCTTTTCAGATAAAATAATATTTAATAATTTTTTGCAGTAACCAATGGGGATAAAACTGCATGGAGGAAAGGGAAGAGTGCAATGACTTTCTAGGCAGTTTGGTGTGTAATGCACAGTAACCTAACCATATAAAAAACCTACTTTAAACAACCTTAATTCCTTCCTTTAATAAGAAAAAGCAGCAGCTGCTCATAAATGTTTGGTTTAATGCTGAGAGAGAAAGCAAGCAATTCTGTTCATAATAACACGTTAGAGAACTGATGATTTCTTATTTTCCCCAGGAGTCCCAGCTGAAAGCTCTGAAGGAGACTGTGCAGCTTTGCCTGTCTTCCGTACTGCACAATCAGCCTCCTGCTAGGAATCTTATCCCTTCAAAACCAGCTGAGAAGCTGACATCCCCAGTTACAAAGGGCTCAAAAGTTCCATTCCAAGTGACAAGCACCAAGGTATGGTTTCTCTCTTGTTTTTTTTTTTTAAACAACTTTGAAAGTTTGTCCTGTAAGAGCATCAAACTGGAACTAAGGAGGATTTTAAATTCATTGAAAGATTAGGATGAATTTTGAGGATAATTCTAAACCTGTTTCTGATGTCAATAAACTTTTAAAATTGGGAAGCAGCTACTTTTTTTGTTGAGGAACAAAATTTTGTCTATCACTTGCTAAATGGACCATGTCTGCATAACAAATCTACAAGGAAGATGAATTTGCACCTAAAATAAGTGAGGATGCTACTTTATAGGATTACTTACCTGTCAGGCACTGATAGTGAGTTTGTGGCAATATAGCACTAAACAGTAAGAAGGTTTTTCCTTATCATGGTTTTTTTTTTGTGAAAAAGGCTGATACGAAAACATAAAATAGTCTGGGACACCCAAAGCAAATTTGCTAGAAGAGATCTATGGAATTGATAATAGGCCATAGGGAATATTCCGGTCATGCAAGATGGGAAGGGCAGTTTAGAAGAAAGCATGAGAAAAAAAAGTTGATGAAAAGTGTTTTGGTTCAATAGAGTCAAGCAGTTTAATACAGTCAAGATTTACAGTGATTAACAACTGTCCTGATAATTTTCATCTCCAGGGTTGCATTTTGCTCCATGTATTCAACTGACTCAATAGATCTAGAAGAAATCTGTGATTTCAATTAAAAGGGAAGTTTTACAGAAGAATGACTGGAAGACACTTTAATGTCCTCCTTAAATTCCAAAACTCTTTCCTGAAATATGAATAGGAATTGCTAACCCATAGCCAGTTTGTAATTTTTATATGGCAGCTGTTGGTATTCACTATTAGTACAGAGGCTGAAGCCAAAAATTAGTGATCTTTCTGTATGCAATTAAAATTGAAATATAATTTTGGAAAGCAGAATATAATTATAAAACCGGATCTCACATTGCTACTCTTACAATAATGATTGTCGGTTCCTTAATAACTGTTTTATAGGAAGAAACCTTCATTCCCAAAAATTATTACCTCTGGAAACAAAGCACTGTATTAATTAATAGCAGCACATGGGGATATTAGTGTTAATTTAGATTAAGATCACTGGTTCTATGTTCTGCAAGAGAGTGGACACTTCTTTTGTAGGTCATGTAGACTGAGCTTCACTCTGGGATCTCAGGAGCACATTTCTCTTAATTAATGTGGCTGTAGAATTGTCTATCTTGTTCTTATTGTCCTTCTCTTCAGGTTGGCAGTGTTTGTGCTTCTGTCATGAAAGCATAGGTGTATTGAAGAGTAGGGCCCAACAAGCTGCTCTGCCTGTGTTGAAGATTGGTGTAGGGTCAGAGCCTTTGAAGCATTTGAGGTCTCCTTGGTTTTACAGGTATTACTGGAGTGCGACAAAGGAAAGGGGAATGCAGTGTAGAGGTCAGAATTAGATTTTTGATATTTGACTGAAACACAGAATAGTCTTCCTTCTTTTTTCTATGATCATACAGATTTTGTGTTTAATGTTCCTGTTTGTAAAATGTATTAGTATTTCCGTGCTCCAGTCTTTTGAGAAGCACCATGTAGTCCTCTGTGTCCAAAAGTGCTTGAATTAGTTATACTGCCTCTTTAATAGACATTGCTCACATTTCTCTGCACTTGGCATATGCCATAAAAATATCTGAGAAAATAATGGTCTGCAATCCTCTTCTTCCACACATTGACACCTCATTATTATAAATCTGTGCATTATTTGTGATTATAAAACCACTGAAATCTGCCACTGTGAAATAGGTTGTCAAAGAATCATAGTCAGTCCAGAATTATACCCTCTGCACTTAAGCTGTATTATAGAAGGCTTTTTTGTATGATGACATCCATTCTTATGTATCTTTTCCTTGGCTTTTTCTTCCTCTTACAAACCAACTAACTACAGATGTATAGCTTTCTTGTTTTAATTAGATTTGCATAAACATTTTGATATAGCAGGCTGGTATTTTTAGGTGACTATAAATGTGTGTGATTACTTAAGTATATTTTCATATGTGAAAATGGGAACTTTAGATGAACAGCACTTATGCATCTTATGTCTGATAAGCAGCATTTTCACCTTCAGGAAAGAAATGATGATTTGTCTGGTAAATATCTTATTTCAAAGATATTGTCATCCAGCCTAAAAATTGCTTTCTAATAATGTCAAACTTATTTTAAATCCATTGAAGGGCACATCATACGGTGTCTGATACCTGTATCACTTGGGGACAATCATCTCTGGGATTGGGGTGCTTCCTGCTTAACGAAAAAAAAAAGATGCAAATAAGTAGGTTGTATATTTGTATTCATAATTGGTAACCATACCTGAGTGCTTGTTAGAGATGATATTTAACACAAGAACATGGTATAGAAAGGATAATTAGGAAAGCAAATTGCCAAATTTCTTGGGAAGGTTCATTTTAAGAATTGATTTCTAAGTGAGGTATTTTGGTCTTTCTAGAGAATGTGATATAAAGAAGCATAAACCAGGCTTAAAAAATCAGTGCAGATCAGTGCATAGAAGTGCCTGCATCAGTGCAAAAAAGTTGTTGTTCTGGATAGCTCAGTGATTTGGAAGAGTGGGTAGTAATGGGAAATTCTTACATTTAAATCATAGAAGAAGTTCTCAAAGTGATCAAAAGCAATATCAGTCTGAGGTGGGTTTTGTGACTTGTCTTAAATGAGTTAATATTTACAATGTACAAGAACATAAAATATGGAATTTAGCATTTGAATTGGTGCTAGTATTTCAGACCAAAACCATTTTACCTGTCATGTACCTGTCATAACACTGATACTGGTGCTGAAATCATTGACCATTACAAATGGATTTAGGGCGCTGTGCATACAAGTTCAGTGACACTAGCAACTAAAACCAAGCATAACCAGAAGGCTGATCGTTAATCCTGAACTATGAGGTCTTTAACTTTCTGGATTGTTGACAATTATTTTTATTATGTGCTTTCTTTTGGGCTGTAATGTCGCAGCAATAACCATTCTGTGTTCTGCCAGTGGAAAATACTTCCAAACTAGTTGAGAGTTGTCGGTTCTGGCTTTTGTTGTAGCAATTTCCTTGCCTTGCCATCACAGAAGTGATGAGGAAAGAGGAAAATGAAGAGAAAGGAGGAGGACTGAAACTCTGCTTTCCTTTTTAATCTCCAAATGAGTGCCTAAGGACCTGGGTATTTAAAGAGATTGTTAATGGATGGAAACTGTAACATTTACTAGGCTACCTGCTGTGGGAAATGTGGGTTGGTACAATCTGTGAATCAGAGCACTGGTACTGACTTCCTATTGAGGCATTTTCTGCACTTACTGTATCTCGGCATAACAAAAAACTCTGTGAATTTATATGGAGTTAGAAGATGGAATGCATTCTTACTCCATTTGTTTTAATTCCTCTTTCTGAAAAAGGTTAACATTATACCTTATAAAAAATAAAAATTGTAATAATAACTCTCCTTCAAATATCTTTTGCTGTGCAAGGTAAAGATACCTGTGCTCCAAATGCAACAAAATGAGCTTAGTAACACTGTGGAAAATTAATGGCAAACCAAAATCAGAAGTGAAATAGAAGAAAAGTCTATTTCCAGTAGCGAGGCTGAATACACAGGTGATGGGGAACACAGTGACACAGATACCTGAATAATAGTGACTAGTTTGCTCTATTGTGTTTTTGCCTAATGCAAAAACATTGTTTCATGTATTCCCCAAGTTAATTCCTTCATTATAAATGCCCCGTGGTTTTTGTGTATTTTGTGAACTGCACTATTTTAAGAGTGGAAATACGCATGAATTTCAAACTGTGAAGAATAACACCCTCTCCTATATTGTACATAGTGTAGGTGGAAAGACCACATATGAATGCCACTTCAGTGTACTAGTCTTGATGGAGGAAATAGAGGCTGAATAAGAATGAGAACGATCCTTCTGTAGAAATGTATAGTACAGACTGAAAGGGGAACTGCCACTCCATTTTTAAAAGATTTAAAGATCTCACAAGAAAATGCGTCACTTTTGAGGTAAAAACTGCTGCAAGGAGCCATTGCCTCTGCCTCGCGTATATTATGAATATTGCGGACTCCAGCATACATTGATCAGTGTAAAAATTCAGGAAAGCTAAAGTACTGTGGGCCATCCTCCTTTTATTTGGAAAGAAGTACTTCATTCATTATCCATCAAAGTAAGCTTGGGGAATTCTATATCTTTACTAAGCCTAAGAAAATGTTCTTGTTGGAGCAGGAACGAGGAGAGCTTGTGAGGCTGCTCAAAGAAGGTACAAGCCTGGAAAGTTGGTCAAGAAACAAGGTACACCCTGAAAAGCATTTTGAAATGGCCATATAGGAAATTAAGAGGCTGAGTTTTCTGTGTTGGTACAGAAATAATGTGTTTAGGTTAAATTTAAACTCACAGTTATTCTGAGTGCAGAGATACTGAGCATCTACTACAGACACAGAGCAAGGTTGCTGAAAAAATAAGATGATCATAGTGTCAAGAGTCTTAGCTTCTTCACTAATTTCATCAGCGGTTTTGAAGTTTTTTTAAAAACCTATTTATAAAGGATCTATGGTTTATCTAGGAAGCCAGATTATTTCTTAGGCTTTAGACCTTATCCATTTCATTCTACAAAAGTAGAAATTATTGATATAAATATTTATGTAAAATAATAATATAATAGTTAATTATTTGTACTAAATATTAGTTATACAATTACTATCATATTACTGATAATACTGTAGGATATTATAATTATATAATTGACTAGAAATTTGAAAAACATTAGAGTTATATGTGTACATTTCTTCAAAATATACATACACACTTGGAAGGAATGAAGAAATGTTTGGAATGTATAGGTTGGAACCAATCCATATTTATGAAGACTGAACAAAGTTTTTTTTAACTGTCTTTTGAGAGTGTTTTTGTAGATCCTAGAAAACTAACAGAATAGCTTCCGATTAATGAAAAATTAACCAGCTGAATATAGCA